CCCCAAAACCCCAAAACCCCAAAACCCCAAAACCCCGTTCTGAGATTTAGAGTAGAATTATGGGGGATAACATAATTTTTTATTAACCATGACAAAAATGTCCAACCTTATTCTAACTCTAATCCTGTCGCTTGTCTTCTGTAGTATAACCTGTCTGGGAAGCTGGACAGAAAAGAGAGCAGAGAGATCCACAAAGGAGACAGAAGGAGACAAAGCTGGTTTAGAGGCAGCAGGGAGAAGTACAAGTGAAGTTAAAGGTTATGGAAGAGCACAAGAAGATTATGGAAGTGTGGGAGAATGGAGTTATTGGGTCAAAGAATGTGAGTGACGACGGGAGCTAGAGAGGCAGGGGTCAGAGGAGGAAACCTACTTTTGGACTTATTTGGATAAGGGTGAGATTTGTGTACTGGATACAGCAAGTAAATGAACAGGGGTAGACAATAAACAAACTGATGGGAGTAAGTATCAGTATTGACTTTCATTTGAAAATAATTAAATGAAATATGTAGTTCATTAATATTTGGGAATGTATCATAATTTTTTCTTTCATTTGTTGACTAAAATAGGAAATATTAAGATCATTAATAAATTCTTTAGCTAAATATGACAGAACAATGCTCAAAGTTCATTCAGTTAGTCGGAATGGTAAAATTGAAATCGTTTTTCCAAAAGAAAAACATAACAAAGAAATAAAATATAACATATCTGATACTTCCCAGTTATTTTTTTATTATGGAGAAGATTCAAAAATTGAAGTATCTACAGCTCAATTCCGTAATCTGTAAGTTATTTGGACTAATAACCGATAGAGAACTTAATAAACAAAAAGTCAAAACCCATTCTTATTTTTTTTGGTCCATAATGCTACTTCTGAGTCTTTGTATTTTAACAGGATTTATTATCGCTATTGTTTGGATATTTCTCACTTTAATTGGCTTCAACTCAAGACTTGTCATGTGGAGAGTAAACAAATTCAATTCTGAACAACAAAAGCGTTCAGTATCAGAGAAACAGAACTATGAAGACGAATCAACTGAAGCTCCAAATGATGAAGAATCTAATCGTAGTGAGATAAAGGTCCAACAAGGAACAGATTTACCCTATAGTTCATCCCAAAGTGAGACAAATTGGTAAAAACAAAGCATAATTTGTAGAACGTCTACTCTGAAAAATCCTGGGCTTGGACTTGCCACAAATATATTTCTGTCTGCAATCAAAGAGAAAGCTTTTAACAAAACTGGCAATAATGATTTAGCAAATAATGAAAAGTAATTCAACATCCCAAATGTCTTGAGGGGTTTTGGGGTTTTGGGGTTTTGGGGTTTTGGGG